CCCGGCCCTGTTGTTTCCCCACCGTAAGGTTAAACACAGGTCTCATGCACTTCTGAGAACTCTATCCTTCTTCCGTCATCCAACTGCGCCTAAGTATTTTTCTTATTATTAGAAGTCTGTCTACTATGACTATTACCTCCGCTAGAGATGTTGCAAATACTTCTCCCAGTGTGACATCATTTTTTTTTTTCTTTTTTAACCTTTGCTTGGCTAGAAACGCTTAATTCTTATGAGCCTATGGTTGATTTTTTTTCACCTATGGCTTCTGAAAACTATGTCTATTTTAGAAAGTTCTTCTTCACTCCAAAACACATTTAGCACTTACTCTGCTCTCTCCTAGGTGCTTTGTTCCTATATATTACCTCTCACAAAATAAAACTATAATAAATAATAACATAAATGTATTAGCATGTCAATAAATATTTCTACAAATATGATAAATACAAAATGTTCTTCAATCATTCTAGTATTCTCATATTTTTTAAGTTCTTTAATTTTGGGGGAACTTGTTTTTGTATGTGGTATAAGGCAAGAATATAACTTCATTTTTGCCATATGGATGACCATATGCTCCAATACCATATATTTGGACAACAATCTGAAACGCTTCTCCTTTGAAATGCCATGTTTATCCAACACTAAATTCCCAATTTATATATCTAGTCAGAAGTTGATTAATGCTGTTTCATTAACTTGCATTTTTCTTCTTAGGATTTTATTTATTTATTTGAGAGACAGTGAGCACAAGCAGGCAGAAGGGCAGAGGGAAAAGCAGGCTCCCCGCTCAGCAGGGAGCCCCACACAGGGTTCAATCCTGGGACTCTGGGATCATGACCTGAGCTGAAAGCAGACACTTAACTTATTGAGCCACTCAGGTGCCCCAGAAAGGGTAAGTTTCTTAAAGAAAAAAAAAAAAAAATCATTCTTACACATAACTTTGTCACCAGGGTGTCCTGTTGGGCTCTAAGGGACCCTGGACTAGCAGGCGGTGGCATAGGGCCAGCCAGTCCTCACGTCCTCCAGCGCCTCCCAAGATGGAAGCAGCTGGCTTCTTCAGAGAACAGAGGCGGCCGTGGTGGGGTGGAGAGGTTCCCACCGATGTTCCCGCCCATCATATCCCAAGTGTGGTACCGCCTGGACACCCTGTCCTCACGGTTCTTCCCGTCATCGTTCACCGAGTCAGGGCTGGCCCAGCTTCATGTTCCCATGTCCTGAGTCAATGCTTCATTGCATGGGGCCCGCCCACTTGTTCACACCAGTTGTGCATTACAGAGCCACTTCCCCCAGCTTTGTCCAGATCACCAGTAAAGACGTCAGAGAGAACAGACCCACCAGGAATTCGCTTCAGGGCAACATCGGTTCACAGACAGGAGCCTTTATGGCAAGGTCCTTCCACCAGCGATGAAGGCAAACACACTCCCACGTCTGCCCACAGAGAAGCAGAAACCTCGCCAGGTGTCCGAGGTCTTGAGAGCACATCCCCCCAATCCAGCTTACTAACTTCAGCAGTGGACCCCGCTGTGGGCCACACAGCGCTCCGTGGGCACCCGAGAGCCCTTGCTGCCTCTTGGCAGCCACACGCCACAAGGCATGGCAGGTTTCCAATAGGAAGAGGGGCACGTCATCTGCTGTCCAAACCAGAATGTGGCTGCAGGTGGCAGGGGGATGCTGTTAAATTCTCACTTCGAGAGAAGCCAGAGATGCACGTGCCCTGAGCAGATCAGGATGGCGACCACCCTCCAGGGGCCTGCCAGCACCCCCGGAGCCCGGGCGGGGACTGTAAGCACAGCAAGTGTCCACACCAATGACCTGGCATGGAGTCCTGCACACATCAGCTGGTGTCATCCAGTAGAATACTGGCCTTGATGGAGGTTTTGGTGGGGAAACCTAACTGCTCTATCGTGGTGACAGCAGCATCACAGAGCTGTTCCTGAGACCTGCACAGAGACGTGAGAAAACCGCAAAGGCCAGCACAGGCACTGGGAGGTCCAGTGTGCCGGCTCCGCTGTTCCACCCCTCCCGACAGGCTGGCAGGAGGCACTGGGGTCTCGGGGAAGAGCAGCAGGCGCTGGGACCACAGGTGCTTATGCAGCCCGACCACCCCCCCTGCCCACCTCACTGGGCCCAGCTTCCTAATGGTTCATGGACTGCACTGTCTGAACCCCGTTTTCTTACCAGGAAGACCACTTGCCTGGTTTAAGAAGCTGATTGTCAATTTGGAACTCAGCTCTAAATACGGCTTAAAAAGCTTACAGTTTAAAAACCATTTACATTTCCTTTCACTAGCCAAATTTAAAAAAAAGTCCTTCCCAATCTTCCTTTATGAAAACCCCCAAAACAAGCAAACAGGGCCTCACTTCTGCTCCACTGCAAGGCTGGTAAAACTACACTTACCAAGACACCTTTTGGGTAAATAGAAAAGGTTTATATAAAGTGCATCGTGAGATGGTTCAACTCAGAGCCTGAGGGTAGGACACAAGTCTCCTCTGGTCCTGAGGGGGCGCTTCCGTCTCCCACCTCCCTCCTCAGCGGATCACGTGACTGCCCAGCTCCCTCCGGCCAGTCCCCTGCTGCATGGCAGGAAGCCTGCCCTCGAGGCTGTGGCTGGCTCCTGGGGAGGCATCGCTGGGTAGGCATTGGAAGATCCTGGAGCTGGGGGCACCCTCGCAGCGGGCACGCCGACCCATGGTCTTGTTGTGCATGGCCTCCACTGAAGCCAATGCTCGCGGAAGCTCCCGCAGCTGGTCATGCCAAGCCTGTGACCATGGACATCTGCGTGTTCGCACACAGGTTGGTCTAGCCCCGCTGCCCTTGACCCACTCGTGTGTCCTGACCCTGCGCGCCAAGAGCAGATAGACACAGTCAGCTCGGCACAGCGCAGACAAGGAGGGCAAGCATGCTCTGGGGCGCCGGTCGGGACGCAGGGTGGGACTCCAGACCACCCAACATCCCAAACACACTCCATGTCACTGAGTGACATCATCTCTCGTCACCAACCTGTCACCAGTATTTGTTTAAATTGCTTACTGAAAAGAAAAATAAGCATGACTATCAAAGCAGAAAGTTCACATTTTAGTCCTGAATTTTTTCCCCAAAGGTTTACACATTTTCTTTGAATATAAATTAATGTCAGCTCTACTTTTAGATTAAAATTCCGCAGTGAGATCGCATATTTCCTGGAAAGGTCCAAGCCAAAGCAGAGCTAAAGGTTTAATAACCCCCTTGCATACTTTCTCAAAGTAACAGATAATATCAGGACTTAATGTGTCTCTGATAAGATACCATAATCATCACAGAGACTGTCTAAAACTTCATGAGGGACCTTGAAATTTCTGACAAATGCTTATCAGTCTTATAAACCTTTAATTCATACAGAACATGGATAAGTGTCATGATAGGAATGAAAAGATAAATTTCCCTGAACTTTCTTCACAAGAAAAATAAAATATACATGTGAAAGCACAAAACCCCAAATGCTTATATTTTCTCTAGCTGTGAAGTGAATTGTGCAACCCATACACTTATAGAAAAAATATGTGACTGTTTTTAATGATTTATGTATAAAATAAAAATAAATTTTATGATACAATTCAATAAACTACTTCATACAAAATTTTACTCACATAAAATGTATGCAATTTTTTTTTGCAATGCAAAAATCCTATTCGTATGTACAAATTCATAAAAGGCAAACACATCTTGAAGCAAAACAGTCCATTTAGGGTTATGTCTAAGTCATTCAAATCAGAAGAGAGACAAGTACATGAGGGGGACTTGTTAACGGACACCCTCCCGCCTCCAATAATGCATTTAGTACAATCTGATCAATTTTACAGTGCAGCATAGGAATGGCCAAGTCACCAATGTGTCAAAACAGCAGAGTTTCATAATCTGACCTTAAACTGATTCAGCTTGGTAAAATCACATAACCACCTCAGAAAAGGATTTCTTTTGGAAATGACAGTAAGGAAACCTAATCTGTGCGTTTGTGCTAAGACTTAAAGACGCAGAACTTTCTCAGGCAATTCTAACATTTAAACGGCACTGCATGGTTCACACCGTAAATGTCTAGAAATAACAGCATCAGGACCCAGACCATATGAACCGTATGCCTCCAAACACTGGAATCCTTTATATACAAACTTTGGACTTTTTTTAGTATTTACAATTATCAAATGTGAGTGAAAAACTTAATATAAACCACATTCTAAAAAAAACTTGTTTTACAAAATAATTTCCAAAAAAAAATGGTAACATCAAAAAAATGTTGCAAATTGGTGTGTCCCCTGAAGTATTCCTTCAGCTGTTTGCCTCGAGCTACGGGCCTCTCTAGAACGCACATCTATAGGAAGGACCAGGAAAGACACCGAGGCCACAGGCCCAGGCGAGTACAGGCCCAGAGCAGCTCACTGCTACCTATGTGGGGAAAACCCTGGGGCTGAATGTCCGTGAAGGACATACTGAAATCTCCTAAATATATGAACTTTAAGGCTGCAAACACAAGCAAGAGGCCGTAGGGATGGATGAGAAAATGACAAAGAGGTATACACAGTTGCAAAGAGCTTTAAGAAAAAAAAACTCAGGTGTACCTTATAAAGATACAGACTGATATGAACCCTTTCCAAGGGGAAATGAACTCAAAACAGAGCGGACTCGTGGTCAGGCCCCATTTCTGTTTGTAAGTGCCGTCAGAAGGCAGCCACCCTTCACTGTACTCCCTTCAGGGTCCTGTCACCAGCCCTAAAACCCGAAACCGCGGACATGGCTTCCTCGCGTGCCACCCCCACTCACCTGCTAGCGACTTCTGGCACGGCCCTGAGCACATCGGGCCGCGCGGAGACGCAGAGAACACGTCCGCATGGCAGGCAACACCCCCACTGGAGGAAGGGGACAGAACACGGCCCTCAACACACGGATATGCCTGCGTTTTCAGAGCTCTGAACCTTGGAGGGAGGACATGGAAAGCTTCATTTTCTCAGGAAACTGAACTGAGAGAGTGGTGACGTTCTATCTTCCTTTTTATTTTCAGACTGAAGAGGACTTCCAGCTTTGGAAACACGTGAGCTTCACCTTCTCGAGCTCAGGTTGATGCTGTAGACCATTTTCTGAATCTTCTCCTCGTTCTTCAGGATGTTGGCCTTCACGGCACAGATCTTGTCCTGCTGGTCTTTGATCAGCTGCTCCAGCTCGGCCAGCTCGGCCTTCAGGGGCTCGACTGCACCATCTGTGATGCTGGTGGGACACAACACAGGGGCTCGTGAGCGCCGGGCTCAGCTTAGAGCTGTTTTTTATTTTTATTTTTTTTAAGATTTTATTTATCCAGTGAGAGAGAGAGAGAGAGAATAAAAGGGGAGAAGGTCAGAGGGAGAAGCAGACTCCCCACGGAGCCGGAAGCCTGATGTGGGACTCAATCCTAGGACTCCAGGATCATGACCTGAGCTGAAGGCAGACGCTCAACCAACTGAGCTACCCAGGCGCCCTAGAGCACCTTCCTGATTGAAACAATCAAAGATGACAAAAGTTAAGTTATTCGCAGCATCCAAAGGAAAAGGGTAAAAATATAAACACACTCAGATAAGGATATAAAGGGACGAGATCCTCACACCTGGGAAAAACATTATTTTACCCTCCCCCAGCCAAAAGTAAAGTCAAACATGTCAATCTACTAAGCGGCCTACTCTTTCTAAAGCCTCACATCACATAGAGCAGAGCCCTGGGACAGCAGGGAGGGGACCAGCGCGGCTACCAACAAGGGCCATGGTCCCGGCAGCCCGATATGAACCCCACCGTCCCCCAAGCAGGTTCATCCAACCACCAGGGCTTCCCTACCCAGGCCCCTCCCACTCACAAGTTCCAGGCATGAGGCCTTTCAGTGCTGGGTTACCTGCCAGGAAAGATCTAGAACATATTTGGGAAAGCAAAGATCAAACTGGCAAATACAAAATAAGTACAAAAATGAGTGATGGGGACACTTGGATGGCTCAGTCAGTGGAACATCTGCCTTCGGCTCAGGTCATGGTCTCAGGGTCCTGGGATCAAGCCCCGAGTCAGGCTCCCTGCTCGGAGAGAAGTCTGCATCTCACTTTCCCTCTGTCCTTCCCCCTGCTCATGTGCATGCTCTCTCTCTCTCTCTCTAATTAATAAAAATCTTTAAAAAGACTCTATATAAAAAACAAACAAAACGAACGAAGAGTGACGATTTCCAACTATCCTACCACAAAGCGAACTCAGGTTCTTTCAGGAAGAAGCATCTGCGTGCTACTTCTTAGACCTAAAATCAACTGTAGGAAGGGCCGACAAATCAACATGCTGGGCTCGGCACCAAAAAGTTCTCGGAGATTTCCTAACTCTTCTAATGCTGGACATTTAAACTTTTAAGGGCTTTTTAGGAGTAAGCAAGCTGATAATAAAGACAGCAGCTTTCTTATCACACAGCATTTTATCGCCGGGCTTGGAGACGAGCACTGGGTCCACTCAGGTCGTTTCTGGACAACAACAAGTAATAAAGTGTCATGCATTCCAGATTCCCTGATTATAAACACAGAACATCAAACATTCCCCTAAAATAAATCTCTTTTTAGTAGCCATTATATTTCCTTTATAGTAGCAACTTCAAAATGGGCTCACCAGCATTTATTTCTTTTCAGAGTAAAAAATTAAAATACTTTCGAAGTACAAACAGTTACCAAACTTTGGGGATTTTGGTAAGACACATAAAACAATAATTCCCATACTGCAAAGTTCCCCGTATTGTTTACTGCCTGTACCACTTGAGTGTGAACGTTAACGCCATAACTTTCCTCAAGGCTGCAAAGGCGTGCCCTGTGCCATACAAATGCAGAAGGAAAATACTTCCTTGGGGTGGGGGGGTGGGGGGGAGGGGGAGGGGGATTCCTTGGGAGGCATCCCCCTGGGCTCCCTGAGCCTCCACCCCCGCCCACCTCTGCTTCTTCTGCACAGCCTTGCCCCTGGCCCCCCACCAACCTCTGTTCCTTCTGCAGGCCCCCAACCATGGGTCCCAACTCTGCTCCTCCTGCAGCACCCCCCGCCCCCAGCCCCTCCACCCTGCTCCTTCTGCAACACCGTCCCCCCGGGGCCCCCACCGACCTCTGCTCCTTCTCCAGCATCCACCCTGCCCCCAATGCCCCCACCTCTGCTCCTTCTGCAGCACGCACCCCGCCCCCAGCCCCCGCCCACCTCTGCTCCTTTTGCAGGGCCTCGGCGTGCTGCTTGTTCTCACTATGCCACAGCTGTAGCTCATTCTGCATGGCGTCCACATCCTCCTGGATGTAGTCCATGATCTTTCCCAGGGGGAGCGCGCTCTTGCACAGGGTCTGGATGGACACGCGCAGCTTCTCGATCTCCTTAGAAACTATGTCCTTCTCCTTCTTCCAGGTGGCCTCAAAGATAAGCGACTTCTCCTACAGTCAGTGGGGAAAATGGGCAGAGAAGGAAGCATCCTCACTCCTGAGGCAGGACGGGGACCTGCTGAGGGTAGAGAGCCATGGGAGCTGGGACCGCACTGGCTCGAGCCAGCAGCAGCCCCAAGGTACCAAGCGTGGTGCGGGGACCGACACTGTGCCCAGTGACGGTCCATCCCTTTTCTTCTCAGAGGTACAGGGGTCTTCACCTGGAAGGCTGTCAGGGGGGCACACTTCTATGTAGTAAGATTTCTTTCCCAACTGGCCAGAAGCTTACTGTAGTTACTGTTACCAGAACTGAGGGACGCTGATGATTTTCCCAGAGAGACTGGCAGAAAGCGGCCCTGACCCCCTGCGTCTCAGTCCTTGCATGGGCCTCCTTTCCATCTCAAAGGACTCTGCAACCCATCTCCCCAAGAAAGGGGGAAAGGAACCCTTCAGAGAGGAGGAAAAGTACTGGTGTGGGAGTGAAGGGATGGGAGGTTTGCAAAGGAGGACATGGTGGACAGCACCAAGCCGGGCAGCAGGCCCACTGAATAAGAAGGGCTGGTCAGGGGGCCCAGGCGGCCTGGTGCCCTTGGTGGGAACCACAGGTATGGGGGCCAGAGGGGTGCAGCAAAAGAGACAGCAGCAACTGAGAGCTTTATTCAGTTCTGGCCAGGAATTCTCTTCATGTGAGCTTTTATCACAGGCCTCTCCGAATTTCAGAAGCTGATGCAAGTTGGTGAGAAGCAATGAATAGTTTGGCTTCTTGGAAAACCTTTCCTAGGAGAGGGACACCGTCTAGGAAGCCCTCCCTGGATGCTCCCACTCCATCACGCTGGCTAAGGTGTCACTGCCTCACCCACTCACAGTTTGAGTCGGCCGCTTTTAATTCAAGTATAACTAATGAACTGGTTTTATTAAGTGACACAACCATCTGCGTTACTGGTAATGCCAGCCTCAGGCTGCAGGCTCCGGGCAGGTAGGACCCCCTGCCTGCATCCCCCCACAAGAGGTTCTCCTTAGATATTTGTCAGATGAACAAATGGAGTGACTGACTAACCCACCCGCCAAGAGGCCAGCTCCCCTGCCTCCCAGGCTTCCGCAAGCACAGAGAAAGCCCTCATGTGATGCCTGGCACACACAAACTGTTCAATAAACATGGGGAGCAACGAATGGTAAAATTCATAAACCCGTCAGTTCAGCAAGGTGGTAGGAGACAAGATAAAACATACAAATATCAGTTATATTCCTACATACTATCAACACATGGACACTGAAATTAAAAATAGTGTCATTCACAGCTGTATATGTAAACAAAAGAGAGAAATGCCTAGGTGTAAATCTAACAAAGTATGTACAGAACTTGTGTACTGAAAATTACATAATGTGGATGAAAGAAATCAAAGCAGACCTAAATAAATGGAAAGACATACCATGTTCCTCAACTGAACGATTCAAGTATTGTAAAGATGTCAATTCTCCCCCAGTTGATATACAAGTTTAACAAAATTCCTATCAAAATCCTAACCAAATTTTTTGGAAATATAGATAAGATTATCCTAAAATTTATATGGGAAGGCAAAAGAACTAGAATAGCTAGAACATTTGTTTTAGAAAAGAATAAAGAGGGAGGAATCGGTCCATCCAATTTTGGGATTTTATAGTTAGAGCAATCAAAACTGTGTGGTACTGGCAAGACAGACAGATCAATGGAACGGAATGAAGAATCTAGAAAAAGACCCTCCCAAACATACCCAACAGGTTTGTTTTTTGTTTTCTTTTATTGGTATTTATTTGAAAGAGACACACAGCATGAGCAGAGCATGGGACAGAGGGAGAAGGAGAGGGACAAGGAGAGTCCACCCTGAGCAGGGAGCCCAATGTGGGGCTCGGTCTAGGACCCCAAGATCATGACCTGAGCCGAAGTCAGCCACTTAACGGGGTGAGCCTCCCAGGTGCCCCCTGCCCAGCTGATTTTTGAAAAAGGTATAAAAAGAAATTCAATGAAGGAAACAGAGTCTTTAAATATGTGGTACTAGAACAACCGGATATACACAGGGAAAAAGGAACCTTGACCTCAGTCTCCCATCTTACACAAAAATTAACTCAAAATGGATCACTGACTTAAATATAAAATGTAAAACTACAAAACTTTTAGGAAAAAAACTAGAGGAAAATCTTTGGAATTTAGGGCCAAACAAAGAGTTCTCACACTGTCCCCAAAAAGCATGATTCATTAAAGGAAAAACTGATAAAGTACACTCTATCACAACTAAAAACATTTGTTGTGCAGAAGATCCTACTGAGAGGTTGAAAGACAAATTAGAGAGTGAAAGTACATATTTTCAAACCAAGTATCTGACAGAGGACTAGTATCTAAATATGTAAACTCTGAAAACTCATCAGCAAAAAGCAAACACTCCAATTAGACATGAACAAAAGACACAGACCCTGCATCAAAGGGGATACATGATGGCCAATAAACACATGAAAAGAGGGTCAAAGTCATTACTTATCAGGGCAATTCAAAATAAAGCCACAATGAGATATCACTGCCAGGATGGCTTAAAAAACAAAAAAGGGGCGCGTGGGTGGCTCAGTGGGTTAAAGCCTCTGCCTTTGGCTCAGGTCATGATCCCAGGGTCCTGGGATCGAGCCCCGCATCGGGCTCTCTGCTCAGCAGGGAGCCTGCTTCCTCCTCTCCCTCTGCCTGCCTCTCTGCCTACTTGTGATCTCTGTCAAATAAATAAATAAAATCTTAAAAAAAAAAAATAGTGACAACGTCACATGCTGGTGAGGACGCAGAGAGACACGATTACTCATACCTAGCTGGTACGAGTGTAAGGTGGAACGGCTCCTATGGAAAAGAGTTCGGCCGTTTCTTTAAAAACTAATATGCAATTAGCATCTGACCTCACAACCCTCCTCCTGGACACTTAGCCCAGAGGAATGAGAAGTCACGTTCACACACTGCCTGTGCACGAACGTTTATGAAGCTGTATTCAGAGCAGCCCCAAACTGGAAACAACCCAGATGCCCTTCAGCAGGTGAACAGTTAAATGATCTGTGCTCCACTCACACCCCGGAATCTGCTCGGCAATAAAAAGGGACGAGCTGCTGAGTCATGCAACCTCCTGGTCGGCTCTCCAGACAGCTACACTGAACGAAAGTAGCCAATCTCCAAAGACGTGCTCTGTGATGCATCTGCAGAACCTTCCTGAAATGATGGTATTACAAAAACAGGGAACAGTTACTGGTTGCCAAGGGTTAAAGAGGGATGAGGTGGGAGGGAGGGAGGAGGTGTGGTCATAGAGGGCAAGAAGGGAGACGCTTGTGGTGATGGAGCTGTTGTGTATCCCGACTGTGTCAAGGTCGGTATCCTGGGGCTGACGCTGTACTGTGGCTTTACAAGATGCCGCTGGTGGGGAAAACAGAGTACGTGGGAAATCCCCATCATGTCTTGCAACTGCACATGAACCTACAGTTACCTCAAGATACGTTCAGCTGGAGAAGAGTTAGTGGCCATTGAAATGCCTTTACATTAAAATGCTAGATGACTAACATGAATTCCAGACAATAAAAAACGATTTCTCAAGGAAAAAAGTGTTGTCTTTATACAGATTAGTAAATCTCTTCATTAATTTAGTTGAACACTTTAAAATTCTAAAACCCATTCAAGGGCCCTGGGCGGCTCCATCGATTTGAGCTTCTGACTCTGGATTTCAGCTCCAAATCATGGGATCGAGTCCTGCATCAGGCTCCATGCTCAGTGCAGAGCCTGCTTGAGGTTCTCTCTCTCCCTCTGCACCCCCTACCCCGGCCCTCACACTCTCTCTCTAATAAATAAATAAACCTTTAAAAAATAAATACATGCAGTTCTACTAAAAGCTGTTCACAATGCTTATTAAGTAGTTCCTATGCGTTTGGCCTTTTGTGTTGAGTCTGATACAGAACAGATCGGGGCACGGAACTTAGGATGGGAGAAAAAATCACGAACAAGTCCAGCAAAACTGGTGAGTTATAAGGCAGACCATGACACGGAGGGGTTAAGCAACATAGCTCCCTCCTATCCCAGGTCACCTGGTCAAACCCCCTCAGAGTTCTGTGTCACAGCACCAAGCAGACTTGGGAATACTAGCCTTAAATTTATAACTTTATTTTTAAGGGATTAAGAATTCAAAACAAAATGCATTTGGGCTAGGGTTATGGCAGTCAGGAGAGACTTTTATTATGCTGCAAACAGCTGCAGAACACCAAAACTCTGGTGTTTAAAAAAATACTTTCACTTAAATGAACGTGGCAGGGTGGAGTGGATAAGTCAACGACTGTTTGCTTTAAGAGCACACCTCTCTGACGATAGGCTGATTTATATGTAGCTCGTACAGCTCTATCAGCAAATTTCCAGGCCAACATAACCATTATAAACCCTTGGTTTATAGACTTTCAATACGTATAGTAAAATATGAGAATCTACTACCATATTCACCACCCAGGAATGAGTCATATGAAATATGCTTAATTTCTGGAAACAGAAAAGGAAAAAAATAATGAAACTATATCATTCCACAAAGTGGGACCTACAACAGCCTGCAGCACAGGACGACTCTGGGGAAAAGGGGTGCGGGCTCCGGGACACGTGCTCAGCAGGTGCGAAGCTGGTGCTGAGCTGGCTTCACCATCTCCTGACTTTACGGCCCTGGGAGCCTGACCTGACCTCTCTGTACCTCGGGTTCGTCCCAATAAAATGGAAATCATAATATTTATCCTGCAGGTTGAGATTAAATGGGATAATATAAAACAAGCAGCTCAGTGTCTCGCACATAGTAAACCCTCAGTAAATGTCAACTGTTATTGTAAATTCACCCAACACAGGAACCGGAGCACAAGCCCCGCAGGGGGACGCAGGCGTGCTCATCCCTCGGTGCCAGGACATGGCTCCCTTCCCGCGAGCTATCTCATCGGCGACAAAGCGCTCCAGGTTGGGCACATTCAGAGAACAAGCTCGTACCGTGTCA